CTGCGAAGCACGGCTCTTGGTGGGGTTCGTGTTAGCATCGTCGTTAGGTTTGAGCCCCGTGAGCTCACCTACTAGTTACGGTTACGCTGAAATAGCCTCTCATGGCTATTAGATTAGGTAGGGGGAAAAAAACTAGATGAGACGGAGTTTCACTGTAAAGTCCTCCTATTGCTCCTTTAATCGATCGCTCTTGCTGAACATCGTGATGCGCCCGCCTGAGACCTTTTCTTGTTATTTGTAGCCACTTATGTCGGTCAGTGGCACAGTGAAGTGCTTGGCTCAATCTCCATATTCCAGGTGCTCGGACATTTGGTTACTCCATCTTTTTTAACTCCGACCTCTGTATCGTTTTCCATCAATTTTACCCGTCACTACGACTCTCCAAGTTGTCAGAGAATTTTCTTGCTATATGACCAATGTATATAGACGGAAAATTTAAGCTCCCGTGACCTAACAATACAATGTATCAATGCAACGCAATGTATTCGTATCGAGTTATTGAACCTTCAATCTCATATTTTAGGATGTTTGGCGGCTGCCTCCTTTGCCTGTATGTTTTTAGAATGTCTCTCTCATATTGTTAAATAGCGCTATTCTCTATATTTTATTGTATACATTACAATGTTTTCGCAGCAGTGAATGCTAAATTGGGCCGTCAGAGTAATTAATGGCAGACACATTTCTCAAAAGACTACAACAACACGTAATTTATATTAGAAGAGTTGAAATTAAATGTAGTACTGGTTACGTAAAGTTATCAATTTTAACGCATCATCGACACAGTCCACAGTAGGTTAATTGTGTGTGGTGGTGTGTAATACTTCATGTTGGCCGTCCAGAGATTTATATTTATTATCTTTCGTTATATATGTATATCAATCAATTTTCCTCTCTGTTTTTGAACAGATTTTCTTTTCTTCGACGAGATTTGGTGCTACCAATGAAAACATGGGAATATTATTTGAAATGGGAATAGTCGAGAAAAAAAATCATAAAAAATTGAATAAAAAGAGAATGAGTCACTCTTTTTTTTAGGATTGATGCATTCCTGGTGGCCGGAGGCCTTTCCAGTTTCACCAGGACAGACGGGCGAGCAAAGGCTCAGCCAGGAGGGGTCGGATTTGCTAACAGCTCCCCGAGCGCCTCCGAAGGAGACCTAACAACTCAAGAGCAACTGCTTAGCGAATGAATATATTACCGGATCGGAATCGCGACCCGCTGAGAAGATCCGGCGAGAAACTTAGCGAGCTGATGCATGGGTTAGGTTGCACGTCGAACTCTTTGTCGAGTTTGACGAGTAAGTAAGCCTAAGGTCCCTAAGCCTGCTCCTAGTATTAGAGCTGAAAGCGTCTAAGGCAAAGGTTATTGGATCTGATGGATCCGCAAGGACGCGAAGTCACTCATATCCGTCAGGAGTATTCTAAAAGCCCGTACCCGATGTTAAGCAATCTAGTGTTTACATAAATCACTTAGGTAAGACGTTTAAATTTTATTACGCTTGCAAACCGCGAGGGAATATAAACCATACAGCCAATTGGTAAGCCATTGATAAATTCGATGGATAATCTGTTTTACGGCAGGTCCCCATTTTAATATCGAGGTGTGAAAAGCAATTGTGTTTAAGCGACATTTTTGCAACTTTAGAGGAGAGCCACACAAAGTAAAAAATTTGGAAAAAATATATCATAACAAAAATACCTCGTAATGATGATATACGGAGTTAGCGCAAGTTCGCGAATGACTTCTACTAAAATGGCATAACTGCAAAAAAAAAAAAAATGCCTTATTACTGGCGGTAGGACGTGTTGTGAGTCCGCAGTGTATTTATTACCAGCGACCTGCCTGTTTCTACCGCGAAGCAGCAATTACTTCCGAGTTGAAGGGTGTCGTTGCCATTGTACTATAGAACTTAGACTTATTTTGAGACTTATCAAGGTTGGTTGATGATTTTTTTTTATTGCTTAAATGGGTGGACGACCTCACAGCCCACCTGGTGTTAAGTGGTTACTGGAGCCCATAGACATCTACAACGTAAATGCGCCACCCATCTTGAGATATAAGTTCTAAGGTCTCAGTATAGTTACAACAGCTACACCCCACCCTTTAAACCGAAACGCATTGCTGCTTCACGACAGAAATAGGCGAGGTGGTGGTACCCACCCGTGCGGACTCACAAGAGGCCCTACCACCAGTAAATCCTGATGTCTCTTGAATCCGGTGAGCTCGTTCGTACCACATAAAAAAACCCAGATGACGTCCAAATGGCAGTTCGCCAGCGCCAATTGTGTAATGATAAGGATGTGTGCAGTTTATATTAGCGTTCTTCTCGTCAAAATATACATACATCATAAACTGGTAATGGAATATTACGTGTTCGTTCTTAGATAATAGCCGTTTATGTTGGGTTAAACGAATTGTACATATTTATTTTCAAACTAGAAGTACTCTGCAATACTAGAAAATGTATCCTGTCTTGTCAAAATAAAATTTTGCGCGCATATATTTCAGCAGCGGATTTCGTGATTAAGGCATTATCTGCCGATTAACCAGGGGTGGAGGGTGTATATTGCTTTCTCGTTAATTATCAAAAGTGTAAACAGAATATATGTATATAATGATATGGTATACTTCAGAATGAATCTATACTAATACTAATATAATATTATAAAGAGGAAAGATTTGTTTGTATTGAATAGGCTCCGAAACTACTGACCGATTTGAAAAAAATTTTCACTGTTTGGAAGCTACACTATTCCCAAGTGACATAGGCTATAATTTTTTTTGGGATCCTTACTAAAACTCCAATAATGTAACCTAAGGTGTAATAAAATCACCTCAAATATTCTTTACATCGCGTGCGCTGCGAAAACTATTGATGATAGAATAAAATAATGTACTACGACTTTGCAGAACACATTATTAGTTACAAAAAGTGTCGCGACAGCATATGTCTAACCATTATAGTTATGCCGCAATAAGTGTTCTTTTATTTAAAAAAATAAAACAACGTCAAATATCGTTGAAATTTTTGTTAAAGACCCGAGCAGAGCCGGAGCGAGCCGCTAGTAAACAATACGACTTAATTGCGTTTTCTGTGATATATAAAAAAAACATTTGAAGCCCTTAATCACTTTTAAAATTTATATCATATATAAAATGTATATATAAATTTAATGTATTATATTACTTATTTTATAACTATCGCAAATCAATTTGTTTACGGAAACCGGTAACTTGACCTTTAAGCCTGTCGTAGTAAGCTAGTGAGAATTGACATAGAAATTCTGTCACCAATTGTCACAGGCTCATAATTCAATAATAAATAATAAGTTAAGTTAAATAAATAACAAGGAAGTTAATAAGTTAAGTTTTTGTGTATATTTTGCAAATAAACTATATATAATTATGCACCTTATATGAAAATTTAAACTTCCGGAACAATTTTAACCTCAAATTTATTGGAATTAACCTAAGAAAAACAGCTGAAAACTAAAGTAATATTTTAAATTAAATCAAACAGTGTCCAGTCTGATTTCGAAAACACAAATATTTCCTTACTTTGACAAACACAAAATATCCAAGTGAACATCATACTCCAAAAATTTCAAGATATGTTTTAAAAAGTCAATGTTGTAAATTGTGACGATACGATGTCAATCGTAAACAAAAACAAATTTAGTTTGTGAAAAACCTAAAAGACGCGACTTTTTGGCGGGAACGCGAGGTGTGAAGTTGTGCGATTTGTTTTATTTTGTCTATTTGGCGTTTCTTCAGGTTTAAATGTGTAATAACGGTGGTTTATTAACTGTTTAGTATCTGTGAAAATGCACAAATGTGGGAAAATGAAACAAAACAGTTGGACGTGACTTCTCGGGTTCCTCCAAAAAGTCCACTGAAAAAATCTCAGTAAACGACCACCATTTTACTGAGATCATATTTCATCATCATCTGATCTCATTTCATTTCATTCCATCTCATTTCATTTTATGTCATGTTTCATATTAATCAACTTAATTTCATAATATCATTTTTCATTTCTAAAAAATATATAAAAGATTAGGCTGTATGGTATGATACCTTTGCCTTTCCAGTTGGAAAAATAAAACTACTACTACTAACTAAAAGGCGCGTTTTAAAAAGTCAACTTTGTAAATTATGACAATACGATGCCAAATAAAACTAGTTTGTAAAAAACCTAATTGATTCAAACCGCATCGAATCAACAACAAACAAAGTTTCAAACCGAAGCAGATGTAACATTTTCGAAATGTGAACGAAAATCGCCCAACAAAGAGCTAGAATACGCTAGATTTAACGCCAATTACTTTAGAAGCGCAATGTCGCTGGATGCGCAAGGGTGAATGACCGATTGCGCAAAGACGACTGATGGCGCGGCCTTGGCTCCGATAAATTCAGCGGTGGCTGTGATCAGCATTCGTGAGTTGAGTAAAAACTCTTTAAACGTTTAAAATGAAGCTATGACGAAATCTATAAGATGCATTGACTACTCCAAAGTTGAATAAGCGACAAACCGTTGGTACACAATGGATACTCGAATAGTACCTAATGTGCTTTTTTTTTCTTAGATGGGTGGACGAGCTCACAGCCCACCTGATATTAAGTGGTTACTGGAGCCTATAGACATCTACAACGTAAATGCGCCACCCACCTTGAGACATACGTTCTAAGGTCTCAAGTATAGTTACAAAAAGTTATTGAAAGGTACGGTTTTATATATCCGATAAAATAAGGCTATTTCTGTAGAAAACAAAATTTAAAATGCATATAATGTTCAGTTCAGTTTCCGCATAGATGCAATTCACCGAATAATCGCCCTAATGTTAACGAATATTTGTAAAATTATTTATTCGTTTTGTAAATTTGTCGACACGTTTCAACATACCGTAACATTCCATACTTGTGTTCGCTGCAAATCTGTGTCTGGTTTTACCAATCAAATAAACTTATCAATAAAAATTATTCCTTTTAAAACAACTCACCTTTATTACTGGCCGACCATAAATTGCTCGGGGGACTGATCTTTTTCTGTTTATTTTCTTTGAATATCAAGATATCCGGTACTTTATTAGCTTTGTTGTCCTTTGGGATCACGTCTGGAACTCTATCGACATTAACACGCACGAATTCACCTTTCAAAACTTTAGCGTCTTTATTCAGCGCTGGGGGCTGTGGTGCTTTCGGTTTCTTCTGAAATAATCTCTTCTTGTCTGGCTTAGCTAGCACATCTATGTCTGTATAAATAATACTATCAATCTCGTCTACATTGCCGACTTCGTTTTTAATACCTATTATACTCATAGGTTGATCGAACCTCGTATTCAAATGTTTCTGGTGAACAGCGATATGTGTGACCCCGTCATTATCAGTTGTACGCATCAGGTCATACTCGGATTTGCCTTTCTCGAAGATTCCATAATCGTCGCTGTTCTTACTGTTTTTAAATATGTCGTGGTGGGTCTTCTTTTTCGCGAACAAGCCCTCGTTCGTGTTGACCGTGTTTTTCGTCAGGCGATTCCTCATTTTGAAATATTTGTAAGTGAAATATATTCTCTTGAAGTCTTGCTCGTTTTCGAATTTCAAAGCTACCGCCTCTTTGACTGCATTTTTTATGACGTAGAAGACTAAAGTGTTGTCGCCATTCGGGTAGGTCTCAACGTTGACGCAGTTGGCAATGTCATCAATACTGATATTCTCAATCTTAGATTTGTAGTCGGTAAAATCTTTGATTAGCGATTGTTTCTCATCGTCAGCGTGTTCGTATTTGGTTAGCAATTGGAGTTGGTCCTTCTCGTTGAAGCCGACGAGGATGTTGTAGGTGTAGGGAGGCTTGCTGAGCCCTAGGACTTCTAATAGCTGGTTGGAATGAAGCTTTTGTCGGGCGACCAGCGCTGCGAGACCGCCTGAACGAGCTGTCTTCTTCACCGTCATGGCTCTGTAACAAAAGGTAACGTTTTTAGAATTTATTTTTTACATTTTATTGAATTCTCGCGAGTCGTAAACATAATTAAAACTATTTTTACGGTTTACGGTTTTTATTGTCACCCTATTATTATGATTCACCGACGTTTCGATTACTTTAAGATTTTAATGATCAGGGGCTTCATTTGGATATTGTGCTACCTTAAAAAATATTTGTAGACTTTTATGTAACATTTCATTCAGACCGAACTAACTGTGTCTTGAGGTCTGACGTGTCTGTGGCTTGAACTTGTAAATACGCTTTTATTAGCTTCAGACGTATGTATGTTTGTAATGGAATCTTTGAACACGATTTTGACCCCCTTCAAAACGTCGGATTAACCCTAAACTTGGAATATATACTTATTAAGGACCGATCATAAGTATGCAAAATTTCGAGTTAATCCCACGTTTTGAAGGGGGTCAAAATCATGTTGAATGATTCCGTTACATACTAACTTACGTATGGAGCTAATAAAAGCGTATTAAAAAAGGGTTTATATTAAAATCTAAAGTATCTCTCACTCAAATTAAATCAAATCCAAAGTCAGCGAAGCGAAGAAGGAGCGCAGCAATAACTCACATTAAAATTATTTTAACAGAATTTGAATAATCATTAAAATATTACACTTAATATTATTATGTTGTATTAAACTAAGTTAAAGTCTTTTAGAATATTCAGTAAATGCTTTTTGAATTTATTTAAATATACATTAAATTTCGTCGACACGGGCGCATTCTGTGGTGATTCATAGACTCTGAATTGTTTGTTTTCAGGAATTACATACCCAATCCTGTAGACCGAATGGTAAATAGTCGACGTCGCCCAAAGCACGTCATTACGGATCCTCCCGATCCATTAACGGTCCTTTTAAAGTACCACAAGCACCGTTCACCGTCCTCGTCGAACCCGTCGCTTACGACGAAGGGCTCGACGAGCGAATTAACCCATAGACACAGCCCACTGAGTTACTTGCCGGATCTTCTCAGTGGGTCGCGTTTCCGATCCGGTGATAGATTCTGCGAAGCACTCCTCTTGCTAGGGCCAGTGTTAGTAATACTTCCGGTTTGAGCCCCGTGAGCTCACCTATATGTTAGGGTTACACGTCTACTTTTCGACTTTCCTAAATATTATTTGATTGGTCCACAAAAGTTTTTTTGTTATTCTAATACTGCATTAGTACCTATAAACTAACAATAGTTGTTACACATATTTACCGTTAGTAATATATATTTGAGTTGTTAGCGAGTATCACTTTCACTTGCTTTCTTAATTCACACTAACATTGTATTTAGAAAATGTACTTTCGGTCCTCATTTTTTTTTATTGCTTAGATTGGTGGACGAGCTCACAACCCACCTGGTGTTAAGTGGTTACTGGAGCCCATAGATATCCACAACGTAAATGCGCCACCCACCTTGAGATACAAGTTCTAAGGTCTCAAGTATAGATACAACGACTGCCCCACCCTTCAAACCGAAACGCATTACTGCTGCACGGCAGAAATAGGCAGGGTGGTGGTACCCACCCGCGCGGACTCACAAGAGGTCCTACCACCAGTAAAATTCGTTTACTTATTTTTAAATTATTTTACTTATTTTAAAATATTCATCGAAACGTATTCCGTAAACAAAATGTACTATCTAGTACTGATGTTTTTTTAATACAATAAAAAACATTTACATTTTCTGATGGTAAGGTCTTGTTGTCTTGTGAGTTCGCACGGATAGGTACCACCACCCTATCTAGCGCGGTAGCCGTTTAGTTTATTTTATTCACAAGAGACGGTTGTAGTAAACTTTAAAATATATTAAAATTCGGGATCTAACTTGTAAAAGTGTTTTTAAAAACTCGTAAAAGATTAAGTCTTAATAGTTTGCTAAATTAAAAAAAAAACGCAAACTCACTAACAATTTAATGACTTAAAGCTTAAGAAATTACCACAAAAGCCTTTGAAAGTTTATACGCTTACATAACAAACACCTCTTAACAACCTAAATTATCTAAGACGTTAGATAAATGAAGGAATCATCGGATACTAGATAACAATTAGATATTTTAAAAGAAAGTCGTAATGATTTTCGAGAATTAATGTCGTACAAAAAAAAAGTTGGTAAAACAATACGCCTGTCATGTGACAGTGCGTTTCCTGTTAGAGGTCGCGTGCTTCGATGTGTGGTACAGGTAAGAAGCGACAACAGTTGAAAATATAAATAAAATAAAATTATTTTAATTATATTACAATTTGCGTAATTACTGGTGGTAAGACCTCTTGTAGGTCCGCGCGGGTAGGTACCACCACCCTGCCTATTTCTGCCGTGAAGCAGCAATGCGTTTCGGTTTGAAGGGCGGGGCAGCCGTTGTTAATATACTTGAGACCTTAAAACTTATATCTCAAGGTGGGTGGCGCATTTACGTTGTAGATGTATATGGGCTCCAGTAACCACTTAACACCAGGTGGGCTGTGAGCTCGTCCACCCATCTAAGCAAAAAAATAAAAATTATACTTGTAGACAAATTGTATGATTTCTATTATTTATTTGTAATGCTAGCCTCAAATTTATATGGCGCATGTCACTAAACTCTCGCCAGAACATTCAATCCCTGTTTGAGCTAGAGCCCCGGAGAGGTGGAGGGAGAAACTGCGATCAAAAGGTAAACAAGCACGTGGCTACCCTAAAACTGAGGCTATCTACAACATGATTATAGGTACTAACATCATCTATTACAATAAAGGGAAGAATAACAATGTCAATGATAAAGGATCACTATCGATCTCAGCTCTGAGAACTCTTGAAAATCCTCCTGCTATTATAATATTTTGTATATTAGTGGCATGATCTATGCTTTGCACACACAGCCTTATGGAGATCCAGGCAAGCGACCATGTAGTTACACACTGCAAATCTGAACATGTATTTCTAAACCATTAAGACCACAGACGTGTTTGACACTACCCCACCGTTTACATTGCGAGGTAGAAATTTCAATAAGAACGCGGGAGACCCGTCCATGTTTTTTTATGTGTTTAAATATATTCCTTTGGCCTACCTGATGGTTAGAATTCTGGCATCCTAGAGGCATCCTGTCGAGGATTTACATTAAACCACATTTGATGAAGAATATATTACACCGCTCGTGAAATACGTTGGAGGGGAATTCATTCCAAAGTATGGTACCTGACAATATGAGCTTACTCAACACTATAAATTATATTTTTATAATCAACTCGTCCGCTCACGCTTAAGCATTACGCCACACATTAATTTCCCAACAATGGCAACGATGGGATTAATTTTACATAATAACTAGTGCACTTCCGACAAAATACGAAACTTGAGGAGAAATCTCTTAATAATTACGTGGCGTCTGATTTCAATATTTTTTAATTAGTTCAAAAATCTTTAGAGATGTAAAACAACGTGGGAAGTCGCGTTAATTAGAATCATTGTGTTATTTTTCTAGAATTTGTTGGAAGATGTATTTTTCAACCAGTGAGGCTCTTTGCAATGCAAACTGAAATTTTACTAAGCGGAACTCAACTCTATTAACGATTACGATGTCAATCAAACGTCCGTTGCCTAATCGTTAAGACGCCCGGTGCATGTATATCGATTGATGCGAATATACCCGGACGCAAATCAATTAAAATCAGAGCAGTACTAGCGAAGAAAGCTAACGTCACACCTGATATTAAAATCCCAAAAAAAAAAAGAATTATAGTGAGCTTTGGATAATTACTGATCGTTTTACGTTCTATGTATTTCGTTAACTACATAACTATAGTTACAAAGGATCACAAGCTCATTTGTCATAATAATGATGATGTAATCATTAAAAAGGTTTTTTCTCAGTGCAAAATTTTTTATAGACCTGACGAATGTTCACCGTCGCAACGCAAAAGCTTAGATGAGTGGACGAGCTCACAGCCCACCTGGTGCTAAGTGGTTACTGGCGCCAACGTAAATGCGCCACCCACCTTGAGATATGAGTTCTCAGGTCTCAGTATAGTTACAACGGCTGCCCCGCCCTTCAAACCGAAACGCATTACTGCTTCACGGCAAAAATAGGCAAGTTGGTGGTACCTACCCGTGCGGACTCACAAGACATCCTACCACCAATAAATTTAATAATCTGTGCTAACCGAATATAAAGTTAAAATAAATACAATCTGAATCAAGCCTACGAGCTAGACTGTTAAATTGTTTCACACGTGNACATTTGTTTCACTCGCACATGGCGCAGCTCGTCGCCGCCAGATGTCACGCGCCTCTCACCGCGCCTCGCAACGCACCGCAAAACGCACCGCCAGTAGCTGTGGCATACTTCATAGGTTGTCTACCATTTGTTTTCGCCGCTCCCGCTTGCCGCGCCTCACGACGCACCGCAATTCGCACCGCTCTCGGCTGTGGCCAAGGGGTAAAGGATAAGACGTCCGGGGCATTCGGATCTAGCGATGCACCGGTGTTTGATTCCCGCAGGCCGTTACCAATTTTTCTAATGAAATGCGTACTCAACAAATGTTCACGATTGACTTTCACGGTGAAGGAATAACATCGTGTAATAAAAATCAAACCCGCAAAATTATAATTTGCGTAATCACTGGTGGTAGGACCTCTTGTGAGTCCGCACGGGTAGGTACCACCGCCCTGCCTATTTCTGCCGTGAAACAGTAATGCGTTTCAGTTTGAAGGGTGGGGCAGCCGTTGTAACTATACTGAGACCTTAGAACTTATATCTCGAGGTGGGTGACGCATTTACGTCGTAGATGTCTATGGGCTTCAGTAACCACTTAACACCAGGTAGGCTGTGAACCTAAGCAATAAAAAATAAAATAAAAAAATCTACCATCGGATCGGAAACGCGACCCAATGAAAAGATCCGGCGAGAAACTTAGTGGGCTGTGTCTGTGGGTTAATTTACTCGTCAAGCCCTTCGTCGCAAGCGACGGGCTGGGCGAGGACGGTGACCGT